TCTCAAGTTCATGAGTATACTATTTAATGTAAAGTATATGTGTGCGTATGTTGATATTAAGTATTTCCCTTCCCCTTTTGGTTTCTTATGAAGTATGTATGAGTGAGTAGTATAGTGTTTTGCGTATGCAAGTCTCCTTTCTTTTTGGCATTGACTTGTCTATATTTGCGTACCGCATCAATTGTTTATACCTGAAGCGTCATGGTCGATCCGATGCGCCTGCTAAGACCAGTTACACACACAACAGCCTTCCTCAAACTCCACCAAAGTCCCCAGTTGAGAATGCCACAGATTTACTACGTGTACCCCGTGCGCGTGTTCTAAATATAGATTTGCTCTCTCTGCTCCGGTTTTAAAAATAGCTCGTATGTATCCCTCTGGTCTCTTGCAGTCCTGAAGATAGGCAGCAGTCGCGGGTCAATCTTTGCCAATAATTTGGCCGTCACGTGTTTGTTTCTGGAGGAGATTGCGCTCAAATCACAGCAAGAAAAGGCGCAGTTTTTCCAATCCGTAAGTGCGACTCCCGTTTTCGCCTGCGTGTCAGCCTATGGTATATATCCCGATTTCACGAAGCCGAATAAATGTTCTGTTCCCAATCTCGATTCCGTATTATCGAACCATCCTTCCCATTTGGGGTGGGTTTTCACCATTTTTTTAATTCTTCATCAACGATTTAACCTAATCTCTCGATCTATTTTGGGGCTTTTGGTATTGGTTTATATCACGATCTGTCCGTAGATGCCATTTGCCGATGGCGACTTCCCACCCCGATTCCAGAAATACAAGATTCTCCCTGAATTGGTTAACTCACTCATGTACGGCGGAGCACAGTCGATACACGTGCTGTCCATCATTATACGCATCGGAAAGGTATGTAGGTAAATTGGGTAGGTAAACTGGGTAGGTATATTGGATTCAGTGTTGTTTGGAGTGCTGTTCAGCTGAATCAAGTACGTATTCTATTTTTCTGCGCATTGGAAGGTAAGTAAGTAAACTGGGTAGGTATATTGGGATCAGTATTGTTTTGGGTGTTGTTCAACCGAACAAAGCAGGTGCTCTATGAAAATACGCAATCGGACACGCACGATCTTATGTATTGGATTCGGGACGATTTCAACCGTTGTTCAATTGATCATTTGCGTATCTTTTCTTAATTTATGTATTGGATTCGGGACGATTTCAACCGTTGTTCAATTGATCATTTACGTATCTTTTCTTACTTTATGTATTGGATTCGGTATGATTTCAACCGTTGTTCAATTGATCATTTACGTATCTTTTCTTAACTTATGTATTGGATTCGGTATGATGTCAACCGTTGTTCAATTGATCATTTACGTATCTTTTCTTACTTTATGTATTGGATTCGGTATGATTTCAACCGTTGTTCAATTGATCATATACTTATCTTATCTTACTTTATGTATTGGATTCGGTATGATTTCAACTGTTGTTCAATTGATCATATACGTATCTTTTCTTGCTATCGGAAAGGTGTGTACGGAGACTCATATTCGTACGTTTTGCGAAACCATTTATCCACTCCACACCCACACAGCTCTTGAATGCCGAGGAGTATCAGAAAATAGTCATACCGTGCATAGTCAAACTGTTCTCGGCCAATGATAGGTATATTCATGTATGTTCAGAAACAAACGTATCAGTAGGGATAAGAAATACATCCA